AAGTTTATCAAACCATTTAAGTCTATTAACCCATTCATTAGGCGACTAAGCTGTTTAAGTCGGTTAGGCCATTTATTGGCCAATTAATATTAAATATAGTTAACAAAATCTTGTCGGAGAAATGTCCTGTCGGGGAAATGTATTTGTCAGGGAAACGTCCTGTCAGTGAAATGTCTTGTCAGGGAAACATCCTGTCGGTGAAACGTCTTGTCGGGGAAACGTCCTGTCGGTGAAACGGTGTTGGGGAAACGTACCAGACCCCTTAATGCCATTCCCTTATATGCTGGATGTAGAAAAAAGGCTAACAAATAAATTGGATCATCAAATTCTTTATACCTTTAATAAAAAAAAATTTTTAAGATTAGAGAATATATAAAAAAATTAAATCTAAATTTATAAAATTTACCTTTATTAAAAACAGAAATACAATGATTTCTAAAAAATTTATAATCATTAGATGGTAAATTTCTTATTACTGCTGCAATTCTTAATAATTAAATGTAACAATTGCAAGATTTGTACCTCTACCCTCCACTTCTAAAATAGCTAATTTAATTGGTAATAAAGTGTTAGCCAAGTAACCAACATCTTTAAAGAATGCTCTACTTCTTAAAATACTAATCACTGAATTATTACTAATTGAAGAAGAATGTTCATCATGAATTTCTTCTAAACATCTTTTCAATCGTATAATTGAATCTAAACATTCATGAACAGACGTCCATCTTGTTTCATGTAACTTTTGATAATGTTTCTATTTGTGATTTTAGAAGACTATTAGCCAAAGAGGATTTTTTAAAATATTTTACTATAATGTTTGCCTTAGAAATTAAATTTTTGCAAATTTATGTGCAATAACATCTTTTGATATCAGATTAATACAGTGAGCTATACATCTCACATTAATAATATGCTTATACTTGCTAGTCACAATCCTTCTAGCTTTGGCAATGTTGGCACCATTATCACTAACAATTGCTGCAACCTTTTTTGGTCCAATACATTCAATAATTTTATTAATTTCTTCTGCTAAAAATTCACCAGTATGAGAGGCAGAAGAAAAATCAGAAATGCAATATAAAAATTCTTTTCTCTCAAGTGTCATTACCATGAAATTCCATAAATTCAAGCCATTTGGGTTTGTCCATCCATCTGTCCCAAGAGTAATATTGGTTGTATTTTGTAATATGTTATCAATCTTTGATTTACAAATGCAACTTGATTATCCAAAAATCTACCTGACAATACTTCATGAGAAGGAGAATTATAACCAGGATTTAATGCTTTTAATAAGTTAACAAAAAAAGGATTCTCTACAATATTAAATGGAAGCCCACAACAAATAAATGCTACAGATAAAGCTATATCAATTTGTTTTTGACGTGAAGGTTCAATTGATGTGGAACCATAATAAGAATCAACTTTAGATTGTTCATTATTACTAATTTTTCTATTATTTGATGTAGACCTCACCCAATCATCAGGAATTTCATATGAATTACCAGAAGAGTTATCATGAATATTATTTGTAATGATCCAATTGTAGTATCATTTAACATCTTCTCCACATTCATTGCATTCATTTGCTAAATGAGAACATAAGATTCCAGGTTTTGCAAATGCCCCATTTTTTATGACAACTTATACATTCACCTTCATATATACTGTTTCCTTTTTCTTGACCTTGAATAAATTGCCTCCATACACCTGTAAATTGTCTGCCATAATTAATAGAATCACTTGGTTCTTTTCTTGGTCTCTTGTTCATTATAAAAAATTTTGTTACACGAAAGTTTATAAGATTTGCAGTATTACAGAATTACAGAATTACAGAATTACAGAATTACAGAATTACAGAATTACAGAATTACAGAATTACAGAATTAC